CCCGCCGCCACCCGAGCTACCCGCCCCGCCGCGGCCCCGCAGCCGCCCGAGCTGCCCTCAGAGGGACCCGCGCGGAGCCGAGGGGGAAAGGCAGGGAAGGAAGGCAGGAGAGCCGCGCGGCCCGCACTCACCGCCCGCCTTCATCGTGGCGCTCCTCGCGGACCGAGCGCACGCAGCGACCGCCGCACCCGGACCGGCTCCGACCGAGGGGCGGCGATAACCGCACGAGGCCGCGCCCCCTCGGCGCTCAGCGCGGGTCAGAGAAGGAGCGTGAGGCTGACTCCGCCCCGGCCGAGCTCAAGCGGCGCCTCCGCGGGGCGGCCACAGCTCCGCCCCACCGCCGCGGACCGAAATCCGCTGAGCGACGCCTACCGGCCGCGCGCACTTCTTTTTAAACACGGCGCGCCGTCTGATTGGTCGGGAGGATGACGGGAGGTGGGGCCGTTCCCGCCCCGCGGGCCGCGATTGGACGACGAGGATGCGAATTCGAATTGGGGCGGTTGGCGGTTCACGCGCACGGCGGCCACGGCGCATGCGTGCGAAGCGCGAGCCCTTCCCGCTGCCCCCTCACGAGGGCGCTGTTGCCGTGGCGCCATCTCCTGCCTCCGGGATTTCGCCTCACAGCAAGTACTGGAGTCGCGATAGGATGCTTTTATCTTTTGCCTCAAAACGTGCAGGGACATTTTCCTCGGTTTCCACACACATCGCTTTTAAGAGTGGCTCACGACGGCCTAATCTTCCCAGGTTGGAAAAGATCTGCAGTATCATCCAGTCCAGCTGTCCACCCACCAACCGCGTCACTCAGGACGGCACCTGAACACAGTCTGTCTCACTGCTCCTGCAGCCAAAGGGCTCAGATGCACGTGTTCCTGCCCGATTGCCTCCTGCTTCTCTAAGTGTCACAAAGGAATCTGAAAATAGGTTTGAAGATTAAAAAAAAACAATAATTCTGGTCTACTTACGGCTCCGTTTCTCTGTTTTCATGTCACGTTTGCAGCTCTGTTACCTGCAGGTTTCCACATGGAACGCATGGGGTTGCTGCCAGATATCCAGCTCAAAGACCTGATCACGTCTCTGACCTCTCTTAGCAGAGAGAAATACCCCTCCTTCACAGTCACACCTTATTCACATCATCGCTTTCTCACACACGCACACACAAGCTGTGAACAACCATTTTCAAGGATGAAGCACGAGGAGTCAAATTCCACGAAGCCCTGACAAACACCCTGATGACGAAACCCTGACATCTCACTTCACCGCCATCGAACCAGGCCGATGCATTAGTTTCACCAAAACAAGGTCAAATTTCCCACTGGCTTTATCACGGATTTGATGAGACTGGAAAAGACCTCCAAGATCATCAGCCCTCTGCTGGGGGAAAAGAGCACAAGTGTCTCCTCTTTACTGCTGCAGAACCTGACCAGGGTTAAGAACTGCAGCAGTGAAGAGGAGCCCAGCGCTGCACTGCTGTTCTGTCACAGCGAAATGGGGGAGAAAGACCAGAGAAAGGCAAAACTCACGTGTAGAGATAAAAACAGTTTAATAGGACAGAATAGGTGGGGAGAATAATAAAGGAAACCAAAAAAAGACTCATCTTTGTTAACAACCGCTTCAAGCTTGTTATTCCCTCTCACCTCAGAAGCGTCATAGGCTTTAGAGTTCCTTTTTTCTGTACTGTAGGGCTTTGCCTGCAGCCTGGCTTTGTTTATATCATAGAATCATAGAATCATCAAGGTTGGAAAAGACCTCTGAGATGATCCAGTCCAACCGTTCACCTATCACCAATGTTTCCCACTAAACCACGTCCCTCAATTCAACATCTACCTATTTCTTGAACACCTCCAGGGACAGTGATTCCCCCACCCCCCTGAGCAGCCTGTGCCTCAGCCTCACCACTCTATGGAATAGAGGTATTTCCTAAAGTCCAACCTGAATCTCCCCTTGTGCAACTTGGGGCCGTTCCCTCCAGTCCTATTGCTAGTTACTTGGGAGAAGAGGCCAACTCCCACCTCACCACAACTCCCCTTCAGGTAGTTGAAGAGAGCAACAAGTTCACCCTTGAGCTTCCTCTCCTCCAGACAGAACGACCCCAGCTCTCTCAACCGCTCCTCATAAGGCTTGTATTCATTTATTTTCATTAGCATAATTAGTAATGTCCTCGGTGTAATCACCCGTGTCTTTCCAAAAGGAGGTCTTCAGATAATGTTGCTATCTAACCCTCTACAGGTCAGCTTTATCTCCACAGAGGGAATGTTGCAGAGGGGTGACCATGATCCAAGACCTGTCTTAGGGATTCTCCTAGATTTAGGTAACTTAGTACCCCACTGAAGACAATGGAAATACTGGCAGATAAGCATCCTTCAGTCCAGTGTTTTGCTCTTCTGGAAGCTGAAGACTTAGTCCTACCATCTTTCTCTGAACCAAAGACTCCTTCCTGCAACAAACCTCTATACCTACAATGGGTCTGAAAAAAAATGTCTGGGGAGCTTCGTGCAAGATTTTCTCACAATATAGTCAGTCCAGCTGACTGAGGGCTTTCCTGTCAGCGAAAAGGAAGGGTGTGAGATGAACATTTGGAGGGACAGGGAAGAATGACCAAGTATCGACATTGGATGCTGTACAATTTGGCTATTTATTGCCTCTCTATGGAAAACGATATGCTCATCGAATTTCTACACAGATCATGCTGCCTGCAGAAAGCCAGTACTATATTGCACTTTTCTTTTTTTAAGCTGTGACCAACAAATTGCATTTCTTCTGCACTGTGCATCATTTCCAAGACCAGGAAAGTTTCTCACTGCACTGACTCCCTGATGCCATCCCTCCAGGAGGCTGGAAGCTCTGTCCACCTGCCCCTGAGGCGCCAGGCCATGGAGTGCTGCTGCCCACGGCCAGAGCTATTCTGCCTTTGCCGAGCTGGCTTCCCAAGGTTCCCATAAAAGGGGTGTCTGGGATCTCCTCATCCCATCTACAAACCCATGACCCCATATTGGCTGCAGGGTTGCAGCTGACTCCCCAAGACTGCAATAGGAGGTGGTGACACAGCCTTGGGCTTCCGTGAAAAAGAAAGCTGTAGAAGAGCCAGAGCGTGCGCGGGAGCCCAGGAGGAAATGCAGCCCAGGAGTTGCAGCAGCGCCTGGCAGTGTAGTGCTGCGGCCCACGGCCAGAGCTATTCTGCCTTCGCCAAGCTGCGTTCCCAAGCAGGGCATGTCTGTCTGCGTAAAACCAGAGGGCTGGCTCATCCAAATGCTTGCTGATTGTTTGGAAGATCAAATCCTTCCAGCCTCCAAGCTGGAGGCAACACCTCTTGGGTGCAATCGTGCGGCGCCTGAGTGAGAGGGTGACCTGAGATGGCTGCACAAGAGTCACCTTAATTTCTCTGTTATCTTACTTCCAATAACCCCACTGGGTGACCCCTGTGTCGGTCTCTTAGAATTTGGATCTAGGAGGTGTCCGCTTCCTTTGCTTAGAATGAAAGCGCAGGAGTGATGCGGAACCATGGTGAGGTCACAGTCGTTGCTGGGGTGGCAGGGCTTGGCCCTCGGTGGCGAGCAGAGCTGGTGCTCTAGTGAGCGAGTGGCACACAGAGACTGAGCTCTGAGCGTTTTGTGGCAAGGATCATCCTTGAGAGCCCGTCAGAAGCACCGCTGCGGCGTGTGTGTGACCTGGGCACAGCCTGGACTGACCTGGACCAAGAGGTGAGCTGGGCTTGGTGCTGCGTGGTGGCTGGAAGGAGTCTCAGCAGAAAAGCTGGGCTGGGGAGGAGTTCCCAGCTCAAACGAGGCCCTTCCCAATGGCTGTTTCCAGGGGAAATTGATTCTCTGAGAGATTGTGGCACACGTTTGGGTGAGGATGACGAATTGCCGTCACTCCCCTGTGTAAAGCTGCAGTGCAATGGAAAGTGCAGCAGTAACAACAGGGTGGCAAAGTCCGAGGCTGCAGCAAGGGAGGATTTGCCCAAGTGCAGCAGTTGGGGACACAGAAAGAAAGGAAAAAAGCTGCTGAGCCTTGGAAGGCCTCAGGTAGCAGGGATCTCCACTCAGACACCCTTGCCTCCACTGCCAACCCTTCAATGATGACTGGGAAGAGTTTATGTGCACCTGAGCTGCCCTGCCTTCCCACCAGGTGCTCAATCACTGCCTCAAGCTGTGACTGACCATTGCCACTACAGCCCTGCAAAACTGCTGCTGGGCCCCAGCCTTCACCTCAGGCAGGACAAAGGAAGAAGAGCACAGACTTGATGCAGTGCAACTTGTGCTTTAATGACCCACGGAGCGCTGGCTGTGCCGTATCCAGCCCATTTTTAACAAAACCCCCCCGAAGTCCCGGTGGAGAGCCGGGTGCTCAGCTGGGGACATGCACTGTCCGGTGACATCACAGGCACGGTGACATCACAAGCACTGTGCTGGGGCCGTGGCTGCCACCAGTGAGTGCCACAGCCGTGAGCGCTGCGCAGCAGTGTGGACACGCTGCGTCAGCTCTCGTCCCGGCTGGCAGTGAGAGTGGTGGTGGCTGACGGGTGCTGCCCGCTGTCGCTGACGGTGCTGCTCAGCCATTGGGCTGGAGTGTGAGCTGGAAGGGAGAGGGACTGCAGCTGTGCCTGGTAAGCCAGAACTGTAGGTTTGTCAAACGTGGGAGTCGTACCAGTGCATCCATTGCAGCTGCAGCAAGAGGAGAAGATGAAGGGAGTCATTTTCATGTCAGGAACGCAAAATGCGTGCTGCTAGGGGTATAACTGGTGGTGAGATGGAGGACAGTGCTTGCTGGGAGAAGTGGTGGCAGTTAGACACAAGGTGCATCTAGACTTGGCACAGTTCTTGCAACCTGCTGCTTCTGAGACTCCTTGAGAGTCACAGAAACGAAGAAAGATGGGAAACTGCTTATTGCTCATGATTCTTCCCTTGTTGACTCTTTCCTTAGGGTTCCATCTGAAAGGTGATCTTGGGTCCAAGCAGTCCCAGAGTGCAGCCGCCTCTTTCCAAGAGCGGGGAATTCCTTTGGAGACAGCCCAACCTTGCTCCAAGAAGTTCCCCATGCCTCAGAAAGGAGTCGACTGCCACTTCTATTTCAACTCTGTCTGCTTTAAGGTATGGTTGGGTGTCTTTTGCCTGGATTGTCTTCCTTTCCTCGCTTTGAAGAGGAAGGGCTGGAGCAGGGGGAGACCTGCTGGCGATGCGTTGCCTTCCTCAGCAGTGGCATTGTGCGCTCCCTGCTACCAACCTGGGCCGACAGCACGGACGTCTTTCAGGCTGTGCTCTTATGTTCCTTTTGCTTGCAGGGAGACAGCTGTCCCTTCCGCCACTGCAAAGCGGCTCTGGGGAGTGAAGAGGTCTGCAAGCTGTGGATGCAGGGTCGCTGTTCCAGCAGCGACTGCAGGCTCAGACACACAAAAATTGATGTGAGTGCTTGCCTAAAGATGAGCTCTCCACTTCTCTCTGGCACCACCTGCAGCGCTGCATCTCTCTGCAAACCTCCTCTGCCTGTTTCCATGACCCTTCCTTGCTTTCTCTCTTCAGAAGAAGCGCAGTGAGATTCCCTGCTACTGGGAGAATCGGCCGGGAGGCTGTCAGAAAGCCCACTGCCCTTTCCTTCACTTGAAGGAATGCGGTGGGAAGGCACCGACTGTACCACCAAGTGACGGTGAGTTCCTGATGGCATGAAGCATGACAGACTTAATGATGAATATTACTTCTGAGCGGGTGCAGGATGTCAGGTAACATTCATTGGGGAGCGCAGGGAAGAGTGGTGATCAGTGAAATATTGGTTTGTGTTTTGGCTGTCAGAATAGGGGTGGGTGTTTTCTGGAGAGAGGTCAATGCATTGCAGGTCTGTGCCGACTGCAGAAATGGCACAACATTTGAGCAGGGGAAAGGCCAATGCAAGAAACTGTGCTTGAAAATTGGAAGCTTGTGGCTTGGTGCGCTGAAACCTTCCTCCAAAGAGATGCTCTTCAATTATTCCTTGTCTCCTTTCTGCCAGAAGCTGACACGAGCCTTCCTCTGACCAGCGGCCCTGCACAAAGTCTGGAGAGCCAGACAGAGGTTGAGAAGGCAGCAGAGAGAGGTACAGATACTGAACAGGCATCTGGGTTTGAGGCGCTGCCTTTCGACTCCCATGTTCTGATTGTTCTCTCCTGGACTGTTCTCTGCAGGTGACATCCCATCTTCCTCCCATGGCCCAGCTGCGCAAAAGCGCAAGCGATGTCAGGAGAAGGGCAAAGCAAGCGAGTTGCCTCTCAAGAAGAGAGTCAAGGGTGAGCAGCAGGAGCTTGTTGCAGTGCCTCAGCACAGTCATGCTGCCACTCAGCATTGTTGTGTGTCAGAGTTTTCCTTGCCCTGGACTATTGCTGAGTGCAGCTCGTGGGTTTCTTTGTTCCTTTCGATGCGCTGTTGGTAGAGATGGCTGTGTGGAAAACATTGCTGAGAATCCTGGACATGGCAATGTAATTCCGCTGGCCAAATGTATTTCGCTTTGTTGTGGGTTGGGTTGTGGGAATGATAGGAGAACGGGGATTTCTCTTGAGCCACAGCAAGACCTTATCAGCAACCTCTTCCTTTTACTGCAGCTGGACGCAAGGTGTACCTCAGGTCTGCTGCTTGGAAATCCACCTTCCCCAGGAAGCAGACACTGAAGCGGAAAGCAGCGGACATGCAACCGTCTGCTGCTGAGGACACCGATGAGCCTCCAGCCAGAAAACTGCCTATGGTAAGAGCAGCAGAACAGCAGCAGTGCATACGGAAGGTTTACACTGCACTTGAAGTCAAGGTGGACATTTCACATGTTCTACCGGTCTGCTGTTTCCTTTGAAGGCAGCAGATGTCTCACAGGGTACTTGTGGAAGACCTCTATTTTGGGTAGATGTAGGGCAAGGATTATGTAAGACTCTGTGATTCTACAATTCTCAGATTGCTCTGCGGTGTGAAGGATTTTGTCCACGAATGCTGCGCTGTTAAAAGCACCCAAGGTCATTGTAACCTTCAAGAGAAGGTTTGTAACCATTGTAACCATTGTAACCTTCAAGAGAAGGCTTTCTTCAGGAGCCCCGAGCTTCTGTATTTGGGTTCAGGCTCAGCAGTGCCCAGGGGAGGGAGGAGCAGTCCTCAAAGATCATCCAGTGCTCCAGCTGTCCTGCTGTGGCCAGGGCTGCCAGCCACGAGATCTGACAGCCTGAAACCCATCCAGCCTGGCCTTGAATGCCTCCAGGGATGGGGCATCCACAGCTTCTCTGGGAAAAGAAGCCACTTAGGAAGCTTTGAGCCGTGCTTCATACACACTGTCTTGTTTCTTCCTAGGCCATCGTTCCAGCCCTGCCTGGGGACAGCCTGGTGACCATTCCTGCAGTTGAAACACCTCCGAGCAGGTGATGACCACCACTTGTTCTTTGTCAGTGCCATTTTTACATTGGACATAAGTTCTTTCACATCAGGGGACAAATGGGGTGTTTGAGATGTGCCGTGGCATAATGCAACAAACAAAGAGGTCATCTGCAACAACTTAAATTGCTCGCTCAGAATCTCTGCTGAGTATGTCATGGGGACAAGGAACTCAGCCAGTAAACAGCTTTATGCAGAGGATGACTTCTTCACGTATTTGCAGTCAAACAATGAGGCTGGCAGTGTGCTTCTGCTACAAAACCTGGCCCCTGTTGGCTGGACTCAAACTGCTCTGTCTGCACACATCAATTGCCACTGTGACACATGTGCCTGCTGGTATGTTGCACTCTCAAGGCAGCCTCAGGTGAACTGAATCGCCATCCCTCTGCGAGCGTGAGGTGCGGGAGGGGTTAACCACAGATCTCAGAGCTGGTAGCTGAAAGCGTACCCGCAGTTAGAAATGCCAGGTGCTGATTGTTCTCTTCCTTGTTCTCCCCAGTCTGGAACTGCTTCTGGGAAGCCAGGCAGACTCCGTGGCAGACTCTGTGCCTTGGGCCTCACAAGCAGCACAGCTGAGCTGCACAGAGGCGGGGAAAGCGCTCATCTCCGAGGAGGATGACATCGAGACATTAATGATGGAAATCATGGGAGATGAGTTAGAAGGAGAAATTGACATGGGTACTGAGAAGGATACGGACGAGCTCCTTCAGGAACTGTCTGACATCATTGACAGTGTAACACCATAGACTGATTGTATATTTTAAAACAACCACCAACAAAAAACAATTAAAACCAACCCTATTCCTTTTCAACCAACCTTGTTCCTTTTCTTTCTTATACTGTGGGGACACTTTTCCTGAAACTGTGCAAGGAGTCTGAAAGCAAACTGGTCAAAATCAGCAGCGCCTGCATTGTGTTCTCCTGATTTCCCTGCTGCTCAGAGTTCAGGGGCCGTGCACCTGTTCCACTGGATCCTGGCCAAGGGGGCAGCACGGAATTGATGAGGCCAGCAAGTGCTGGCGTTTGTGCCGCTGGCGCTAAGCAGCAGAAGGTGGCACCATCCATGGAGCTGCTCTGTACAAGCACCTGGCCCAACCTGGGTCCGGACGCCTCTCAGGGACGACGGAATCCTCGGGGCTGTCGATCAGTGGAAGCCGGGGCAAAGTCCTGCCACTCGAGTCAGCCTCAGTTGTCATCTGCTGAGGAATGGCAGTGCTTGGTGAGTGCTTGGAGAACATTAACTGATGCTGGAGGTTTGACTGAGGGTCGGAAAGATAAAGGTATAATCTGCAAAAGGTTGCAGTGTGTCTTGACCTGCCAGGAGAGGGGAAAACCAACCTGTGGGTGCAGAAACATCAATTGCTTATGGTGATCCAACCAAATTCCAAGGAGACAGAATGACGGTTGGTGGGGTTGGGGAAAGACCGTCCCTGTAACCCAGACATGGTTGAAGTTGGGGGCTGGGCATCTCCCTCCCTGGCAGTATAATAAGGTGTCTGCTGTTCAGTCCCAGAGTGCATACGGGGCATAGTTTGGGTCTGACCCTCCCGATGACTGTAGGAGAGTTCAGACTGAGAGGAAGATGTATTAGTACTGGGTGGCACAGGTGATATTAAGAGGCCATGCAAAACTGGAGCCTATTCCTTGCCAAATCTGTGCCACATTACTAATACTAAACACATAGGATAGACTCCCAGGGGGCAAGAGGAAATCTCTAGAATGCTGCAGGAACTAGAAAACGCTGGGATCATAGACCTGCACGTAGCCCAGCATCACAGGAAAACAGCAGGAGGTAAGAATGGCCAGAAGCCCGGCCGTACAACAGTCCCATTCTGAGTGCACCTTGTATCGTAACGTCTGCTGCTGCTTAGATCTCACCTTTCTCCAGCATAGCAGAGGAAGGCAAAGATCACTGAGTCGGGGAGCCAAGAAGTAAGCAAGTGCAAGATCATTGCTCCTTGAGATTTGGTATTTCTTTTAACTCAAGCCTTTACTATACTGGCCAAGACAATAAAAAGTGTCTAAAACGCTGAATGGTTTTTCTTATTCTGGTGATGACTTACAATGGCGAAGACTATCTAAAAACTTAGAAAGCTGAAGACAAAAATAAGTCCCCCTGCATAACAGCCACCTCTCAGACAGACTTAGCAGGGTGACGGAGGGGATCCTCCCTCTCTGCTCTGCCCTGCTGAGGCCACTTTGCGAATACCATCCACTCACTGTGATGTGTGCCTACCACCTCCTGCTCATCTGCCATGTCCTGGGGCACTGGCATCACTGAGCGTTTGATGGGAAGGGCACACGCTGGCACGACCATGCACCTAAACACTGGTGAGCACCTATGGTACCCAGGAGTCCTTCCTCAATGTCACACTGAGTGGCTGATACGGCACAGGACCAGCTGTGTCCTTTGGTTACCCTGTGCTCCAGGGCAGTGGCTATGAAGTCGCTCTGGTCTGTGGAGAGGAGGAAATGGCAAGGGGAAGGAGCTGGGCACTGAGGTGTGCGAGTGGAGCGGGGTATTCCAGGGGACCCAGGGTGTGGGGCCTCCCAAATTCGAGAACTCCAACTCAGTGGTAGACCAGGAGTCTGGGATCATCCCATCCCATTTCCACCCCCGGTCCCCATAGCTCAGGGGTGGAACCAGCAGTCTGGGAGATCCCGGTCGTATTTCTAGTCCTCGGTTCCCATAACAGGGGGGTCCGGGATCTCCCCATCCCAGCTACAACCCCATGAGCCCATATTGGAGTTGTGAACTCAGGGATCCTGAGATTTCCCTGTCCCATGTGCACTCCAAGTGCCTCATTGCCAACACCAAGGGAGTGTCCCCACTGCACTGACCCGCTGATGCCACCCCTCCAGGAGGCTGGGTGCTCTGTCCCCCTGCTCCTGCTGATGTCAGGGGGCCGAGTGCGCACGGAGAAAAGGGGGGACAGCAAAGGATGGTGCTGCTATTGGGGGTGCACGTGGCCTTCAGTGGTGACAGTGCTGTGACAGCGACTGTGGCGATGGAGCTGCAGGAACAGCTCTGTGGGATCTGTGTCCATCTTGAGAATAGGGGGACAAAGCACTGCGAGTGGAGGATGGGAATGGGATTGGGTGCACAGTTCTGGGGTCTGGAGGTGGGGTTGGGTGGGAAATGGGATGAACCAGCCCGTAAACTGCTGACAGGATGGGACGACATAGGGTTGGGCATGGGATGGGGAGCACAGCTGTGGTGTCTGCAGATAGGGTTAGATCGAGGAGAGGTGGGGATAGGGAGCAATGGAGATGAGGAAAGAGGGCTGGAGAAGAGTGATGAAGGGAGAAAGGGATTGAAAAATGGTTGAAGTAGTGCTGAGGGAAGGAGGAAGAAATAAATGAATGGATGAAGAGATGGAGAAGGGGATGAAGAGGAGGAGGGGAGGAGAAATGGAGGATGGTTGGAGGGCTGTGGAACCCTTCCAGCAGGACCACTAATCTAACTACTGCTCCTTCTCTTTCCCCAGCCCCGTCCTGCTCATCCAAACACCCACAGAGGCTGTGTGCCACCATCCCAAACCCTGTCCCCAACCCCAGTATCATCCCCAAACAATTCCTCACCAATGCCACCTGCTAAGCCCTGGGTGTGGGCCATGGCTGCACCTTTGACCACGTCCAGCATGATTTCTCAGGCTTCTGCCTCTACCTTTTGACTGAACACTGCTTCAGAAACAAGAGCCCCAGATTCTTCGGTGTCCTCATCCAGGGCAGCCCTGGCAGTGCCATTGGTGCCCAAGTCCATGTCTTCCGCACGGTGAAGGAGCTGGAGCCTGGGCGGGTGCTGGTGAGTAGCCCTTGGGATGAGTAAGGGAAGAGGGGCAGTGCTGAGTAAAGATATCAAATGGTCTTCAGAAGGGTGGTAGGTGGAACATGGAGCCCATGGAGTGCCCCAAGAACTCAGGAACACAGGGAGAGAACCCAACATTCCAAGGGGGACACAGCATTCTGCGTGGGACCCTGGCACCCAGGAAGGGACTGAGGGCTTGTTTGTTTGTTTGTTTTTAATAGTTTGTAAAAAAAGCTTCCCTCCTTGTGTTAGAACAATGTTCTGAAGTTTGAAATTTGTCTCTACATTCCTTCATCAGCTGGGACGTTGATGCCGCTGCACACATCTCCTGTTTTGTCATTCTGGTTTGTGTAAAAGATTGGTGAGATGTGCAATCTCTGCATGAAATTTCATTCAAGTGTTTCCCATTATTTGCCCCCAGGAAGCAATGGCTTGGAAATGGCGGTGTCAGCCAGGAGCCCGCACTGCAAACTGAAGTCTCATCATGTGGATCTGTTGAAAACCGCCGTGATGACAAAGGAACGCTTGCGTCGTTTCTGTGCTGACTGTCACACAGCCTTGCAGAGCAGGTAAGGACATGGCATGGCAGAGAAAAGGGATTTCCCTCCTGATGGGGAACAGGTGCCCAAGGAACGTTCACATCCCACGTGCCGCTGTGTAACCGCTCCATGCCCGTGCCCCACGTGCTTCTGGATGGGCAGCACAGCTTTTGGTTCACTCAGCCGCCTGTGGCACAGCACATCAGGCTTTCTGCAGGCATGGGAAATCATCCCATCGCTTTGTGCCTTACAAGGAAAAGGAAAACTTCCTCTTGTGAGAGTCCGACTTCCAACCCTTACCGCCTACACTGAAGAAGATGCCGTTTTTCTTGTATCCTTCAATTCCAAGCCCATATTTTCCAGAAGGCACAAGAATTCAAATTTGAACTCCAGCAAGCGATTTCAGTGCCTATTTCTGATTGTGGCAATTACTCAGTTCAGAGGTCCCACTTAATTTGAGGTGCCTGTTTTTATTCAGACAAAGGCTGCAGTTGCAGCTGACTCCCCAAGACTGCAATAGGAGGTGGTGACACAGCCTTGGGCTTCCGTGTTTGTGCTAATCCCATGTTTCCTTTCTCTGCCTTGCAGGGCAGCTCGTGTTGCAAGTGGCCAGGATCGCACTGTGAATGAAGGTCGGCGTGGGAGCAGCTGCTGATGGGAGCAGGAAGTCCAGGCTGATGCACTCTGAGGCATCTCTTGGTGCGGTACCAGAGGTGGCAGTAATGATGTCGGGGCACAGCTGCAGAAGAACGTGAGGAGCTCCCCAGCAGGAAGCCACAAAACCTGCAGAAACCGGCAGGAGAGCCAGAGCGTGCGCGGGAGCCCAGGAGGAAATGCAGCCCAGGAGTTGGAGCGGCGCCTGGCAGTGGAGTGCTGCGGCCCACGGCCAGAGCTATTCTGCCTTCGCCGGGCCGGCTTCCCAAGCAGGACGTGTCTGTCCTCGTAAAACCAGAGGGCTGGCTCATCCAAATGCTTGCTGATTGTTTGGAAGATCAAATTCTGAAGCTCAAATCCTTCCAGCCTTCAAGCTGGAGGCAACATCTCCTGGGTCCAATCGTGCGGTGCCTGAGTGAGAGGGCGACCAGAGATGGCTGCACAAGAGTCACCTTAATTTCTCTGTTATCTTACTTCCAATAACCCCACTGGGTGACCCTTGTGTCCGTCTCTTAGAATTTGGATCTAGGAGGCGTCTGCTTCCTTTGCTTAGAACGAAAGCGCAGGAGTGATGCGGAACCATGGTGAGGTCACAGTCGTTGCTGGGGTGGCAGGGCTTGGCCCTCGGTGGCGAGCAGAGCTGGTGCTCTAGTGAGCGAGTGGCACACAGAGACTGAGCTCTGAGCGTTTTGTGGCAAGGATCATCCTTGAGAGCCCGTCAGAAGCACCGCTGCGGCGTGTGTGTGACCTGGGCACAGCCTGGACTGACCTGGACCAAGAGGTGAGCTGGGCTTGGTGCTGCGTGGTGGCTGGAAGGAGTCTCAGCAGAAAAGCTGGGCTGGGGAGGAGTTCCCAGCTCAAACGAGGCCCTTCCCAATGGCTGTTTCCAGGGGAAATTGATTCTCTGAGAGATTGTGGCACACGTTTGGGTGAGGATGACGAATTGCCGTCACTTCCCTGTGTAAAGCTTGCCTCCACTGCCAACCCTTCAGTGATGACTGGGAAGGGTTTGTGTGCACCTGAGCTGCCCTGCCTTCCCACCAGGTGCTCAATCACTGCCTCAAGCTGTGACTGACCATTGCCACTACAGCCCTGCAAAACTGCTGCTGGGCCCCAGCCTTCACCTCAGACAGGACAAAGGAAGAAGAGCACAGACTTGATGCAGTGCAACTTGTGCTTTAATGACCCACGGAGCGCTGGCTGTGCTGTATCCAGCCCATTTTTAACAAAACCCCCCTGAAGTCCCGGTGGAGAGCCGGGTGCTCAGCTGGGGACATGCACTGTCCGGTGACATCACAGGCACGGTGACATCACAAGCACTGTGCTGGGGCCGTGGCTGCCACCAGTGAGTGCCACATTCGTGAGCGCTGCGCAGCAGTGTGGACACGCTGCGTCAGCTCTCGTCCCGGCTGGCAGTGAGAGTGGTGGTGGCTGACGGGTGCTGCCCGCTGTCGCTGACGGTGCTGCTCAGCCATTGGGCTGGAGTGTGAGCTGGAAGGGAGAGGGACTGCAGCTGTGCCTGGTAAGCCAGAACTGTAGGTTTGTCAAACGTGGGAGTCGTACCAGTGCATCCATTGCAGCTGCAGCAAGGGGAGAAGAGGAAGGGAGTCATTTTCATGTCAGGAACGCAAAATGCGTGCTGCTAGGGGTATAACTGGTGGTGAGATGGAGGACAGTGCTTGCTGGGAGAAGTGGTGGCAGTTAGACACAAGGTGGATCTAGACTTGGCACAGTTCTTGCAACCTGCTGCTTCTGAGACTCCTCGAGAGTCACAGAAACGAAGAAAGATGGGAAACTGCTTATTCCTCATGATTCTTCCCTTGTTGACTCTTTCCTTAGGGTTCCATCTGAAAGGTGATCTTGGGTCCAAGCAGTCCCAGAGTGCAGCCGCCTCTTTCCAAGAGCGGGGAATTCCTTTGGAGACAGCCCAACCTTGCTCCAAGAAGTTCCCCATGCCTCAGAAAGGAGTCGACTGCCACTTCTATTTCAACTCTGTCTGCTTTAAGGTATGGTTGGGTGTCTTTTGCCTGGATTGTCTTCCTTTCCTCGCTTTGAAGAGGAAGGGCTGGAGCAGGGGGAGACCTGCTGGCGATGCGTTGCCTTCATCAGCAGTGGCATTGTGCGCTCCCTGCTACCAACCTGGGCCGACAGCACGGACGTCTTTCAGGCTGTGCTCTTATGTTCCTTTTGCTTGCAGGGAGACAGCTGTCCCTTCCGCCACTGCGAAGCGGCTCTGGGGAGTGAAGAGGTCTGCAAGCTGTGGATGCAGGGTCGCTGTTCCAGCAGCGACTGCAGGCTCAGACACACAAAAATTGATGTGAGTGCTTGCCTAAAGATGAGCTCTCCACTTCTCTCTGGCACCACCTGCAGCGCTGCATCTCTCTGCAAACCTCCTCTGCCTGTTTCCATGACCCTTCCTTGCTTTCTCTCTTCAGAAGAAGCGCAGTGAGATTCCCTGCTACTGGGAGAATCGGCCGGGAGGCTGTCAGAAAGCCCACTGCCCTTTCCTTCACTTGAAGGAACGCGGTGGGAAGGCACCGACTGTACCACCAAGTGACGGTGAGTTCCTGATGGCATGAAGCATGACAGACTTAATGATGAATATTACTTCTGAGCGGGTGCAGGATGTCGGGTAACATTCATTGGGGAGCGCAGGGAAGAGTGGTGATCAGTGAAATATTGGTTTGTGTTTGGGCTGTCAGAATAGGGGTGGGTGTTTTCTGGAGAGAGGTCAATGCATTGCAGGTCTGTGCCGACTGCAGAAATGGCACAACATTTGAGCAGGGGAAAGGCCAATGCAAGAAACTGTGCTTGAAAATTGGAAGCTTGTGGCTTGGTGCGCTGAAACCTTCCTCCAAAGAGATGCTCTTCAATTATTCCTTGTCTCCTTTCTGCCAGAAGCTGACACGAGCCTTCCTCTGACCAGCGGCCCTGCACAAAGTCTGGAGAGCCAGACAGAGGTTGAGAAGGCAGCAGAGAGAGGTACAGATACTGAACAGGCATCTGGGTTTGAGGCGCTGCCTTTCGACTCCCATGTTCTGATTGTTCTCTCCTGGACTGTTCTCTGCAGGTGACATCCCATCTTCCTCCCATGGCCCGGCTGCGCAAAAGCGCAAGCGATGTCAGGAGAAGGGCAAAGCAAGCGAGTTGCCTCTCAAGAAGAGAGTCAAGGGTGAGCAGCAGGAGCTTGTTGCAGTGCCTCAGCACAGTCATGCTGCCACTCAGCATTGTTGTGTGTCAGAGTTTTCCTTGCCCTGGACTATTGCTGAGTGCAGCTCGTGGGTTTCTTTGTTCCTTTCGATGCGCTGTTGGTAGAGATGGCTGTGTGGAAAACATTGCTGAGAATCCTGGACATGGCAATGTAATTCCGCTGGCCAAATGTATTTCGCTTTGTTGTGGGTTGGGTTGTGGGAATGATAGGAGAACGGGGATTTCTCTTGAGCCACAGCAAGACCTTATCAGCAACCTCTTCCTTTTACTGCAGCTGGACGCAAGGTGTACCTCAGGTCTGCTGCTTGGAAATCCACCTTCCCCAGGAAGCAGACACTGAAGCGCAAAGCAGCGGACATGCAACCGTCTGCTGCTGAGGACACCGATGAGCCCCCAGCCAGAAAACTGCCTATGGTAAGAGCAGCAGAACAGCAGCAGTGCATACGGAAGGTTTACACTGCACTTGAAGTCAAGGTGGACATTTCACATGTTCTACCGGTCTGCTGTTTCCTTTGAAGGCAGCAGATGTCTCACAGGGTACTTGTGGAAGACCTCTATTTTGGGTAGATGTAGGGCAAGGATTATGTAAGACTCTGTGATTCCACAATTCTCAGATTGCTCTGCGGTGTGAAGGATTTTGTCCACGAATGCTGCGCTGTTAAAAGCACCCAAGGTCATTGTAACCTTCAAGAGAAGGTTTGTAACCATTGTAACCATTGTAACCTTCAAGAGAAGGCTTTCTTCAGGAGCCCCGAGCTTCTGTATTTGGGTTCAGGCTCAGCAGTGCCCAGGGGAGGGAGGAGCAGTCCTCAAAGATCATCCAGTGCTCCAGCTGTCCTGCTGTGGCCAGGGCTGCCAGCCACGAGATCTGACAGCCTGAAACCCATCCAGCCTGGCCTTGAATGCCTCCAGGGATGGGGCATCCACAGTTCTCTGGGAAAAGAAGCTACTTAGGAAGCTCTGAGCCGTGCTTCATACACACTGTCTTGTTTCTTCCTAGGCCATCGTTCCAGCCCTGCCTGGGGACAGCCTGGTGACCATTCCTGCAGTTGAAACACCTCCGAGCAGGTGATGACCACCACTTGTTCTTTGTCAGTGCCATTTTTACATTGGACATAAGTTCTTTCACATCAGGGGACAAATGGGGTGTTTGAGATGTGCCGTGGCATAATGCAACAAACAAAGAGGTCATCTGCAACAACTTAAATTGCTCGCTCAGAATCTCTGCTGAGTATGTCATGGGGACAAGGAACTCAGCCAGTAAACAGCTTTATGCAGAGGATGACTTCTTCACGCATTTACAGTCAAACAAGGAGGCTGGCAGTGTGCTTCTGCTACAAAACCTGGCCCCTGTTGGCTGGACTCAAACTGCTCTGTCTGCACACATCAATTGCCACTGTGACACGTGTGCCTGCTGGTATCTTGCACTCTCAAGGCAGCCTCAGGTGAACTGAATCGCCATCCCTCTGCGAGCGTGAGGTGCGGGAGGGGTTAACCACAGATCTCAGAGCTGGTAGCTGAAAGCGTACCTGCAGTTAGAAATGCCAGGTGCTGATTGTTCTCTTCCTTGTTCTCCCCAGTCTGGAACTGCTTCTGGGAAGCCAGGCAGACTCCGTGGCAGACTCTGTGCCTTGGGCCTCACAAGCAGCACATCAGATGCAGCAGCTGAGCTGCACAGAGGCGGGGAAAGCGCTCATCTCCGAGGAGGATGACATCGAGACATTAATGATGGAAATCATGGGAGATGAGTTAGAAGGAGAAATTGACATGGATACTGACAAGGATACGGACGAGCTCCTTCAGGAACTGTCTGACATCATTGACAGTGTAACACCATAGACTGATTGTATATTTTAAAACAACCAACAACAAAAAACAATTAAAACCAACCCTATTCCTTTTCAACCAACCTTGTTCCTTTTCTTTCTTATACTGTGGGGACACTTTTCCTGAAACTGTGCAAGGAGTCTGAAAGCAAACTGGTCAAAATCAGCAGCGCCTGCGTTCTGTTCTCCTGATTTCCCTGCTGCTCAGAGTTCAGGGGCCGTGCACCCGTTCCACTGGATCCTGGCCAAGGGGGCAGCACGGAATTGGTGAGGCCAGCAAGTGCTGGCGTTTGTGCCGCTGGCGCTAAGCAGCAGAAGGTGGCACCATCCATGGAGCTGCTCTGTACAAGCACCTGGCCCAACCTGGGTCCGGACGCCTCTCAGGGACGACGGAATCCTCGGGGCTGTCGATCAGTGGAAGCCGGGGCAAAGTCCTGCCACTCGAGTCAGCCTCAGTTGTCATCTGCTGAGGAATGGCAGTGCTTGGTGAGTGCTTGGAGAGCATTAACTGATGCTGGAGGTTTGACTGAGGGTCGGAAAGATAAAGGCATGATCTGCAAAAGGTTGCAGTGTGTCTTGACCTGCCAGGAGAGGGGAAAACCAACCTGTGGGTGCAGAAACATCAATTGCTTATGGTGATCCAACCAAATTCCAAGGAGACAGAATGACGGTTGGTGGGGTTGGGGAAAGACCGTCCCTGTAACCCAGACATGGTTGAAGTTGGGGGCTGGGCATCTCCCTCCCTGGCAGTATAATAAGGTGTCTGCTGTTCAGTCCCAGAGTGCATACGGGGCATAGTTTGGGTCTGACCCTCCCGATGACTGTAGGAGAGTTCAGACTGAGAGGAAGATGTATTAGTACTGGGTGGCACAGGTGATATTAAGAGGCCATGCAAAACTGGAGCCTATTCCTTGCCAAATCTGTGCCACATTACTAATACTAAACATATAGGATAGACTCCCAGGGGGCAAGAGGAAATCTCTAGAATGCTGCAGGAACTAGAAAACGCTGGGATCATAGACCTGCACGTAGCCCAGCATCACAGGAAAACAGCAGGAGGTAAGAATGGCCAGAAGCCCGGCCGTACAACAGTCCCATTCTGAGTGCACCTTGTATCGTAACGTCTGCTGCTGCTTAGATCTCACCTTTCTCCAGCATAGCAGAGGAAGGCAAAGATCACTGAGTCGGGGAGCCAAGAAGTAAGCAAGTGCAAGATCATTGCTCCTTGAGATTTGGTATTTCTTTTAACTCCAGCCTTTACTATACTGGCCAAGACAATAAAAAGTGTCTAACACGCTGAATGGTTTTTCTTATTCTGGTGATGACTTACAATGGCGAAGACTATCTAAAAACTTAGAAAGCTGAAGACAAAAATAAGTCCCCCTGCATAACAGCCACCTCTCAGACAGACTTAGCAGGGTGACGGAGGGGATCCTCCCTCTCTGCTCTGCCCTGCTGAGGCCACTTTGCGAATACCATCCACTCACTGTGATGTGTGCCTACCACCTCCTGCTCATCTGCCATGTCCTGGGGCACTGGCATCACTGAGCGTTTGATGGGAAGGGCACACGCTGGCACGACCATGCACCTAAACACTGGTGAGCACCTATGGTACCCAGGAGTCCTTCCTCAATGTCACACTGAGTGGCTGATACGGCACAGGACCAGCTGTGTCCTTTGGTTACCCTGTGCTCCAGGGCAGTGGCTATGAAGTCGCTCTGGTCTGTGGAGAGGAGGAAATGGCAAGGGGAAGGAGCTGGGCACTGAGGTGTGCGAGTGGAGCGGGGTATTCCAGGGGACCCAGGGTGTGGGGCCTCCCAAATTCGAGAACTCCAACTCAGTGGTAGACCAGGAGTCTGGGATCATCCCATCCCATTTCCACCCCCGGTCCCCATAGCTCAGGGGTGGAACCAGCAGTCTGGGAGATCCCGGTCGTATTTCTAGTCCTCGGTTCCCATAACAGGGGTGTCCGGGATCTCCCCATCCCATCTACAACCCCATGAGCCCATATTGGAGTTGTGAACTCAGGGATCCTGAGATTTCCCTGTCCCATGTGCACTCCAAGTGCCTCATTGCCAACACCAAGGGAGTGTCCCCACTGCACTGACCCGCTGATGCCACCCCTCCAGGAGGCTGGGTGCTCTGTCCCCCTGCTCCTGCTGATGTCAGGGGGCCGAGTGCGCACGGAGAAAAGGGGGGACAGCAAAGGATGGTGCTGCTATTGGGGGTGCACGTGGCCTTCAGTGGTGACAGTGCTGTGACAGCAACTGCGGCAACGGAGCTGCAGGAACAGCTCTGTGGGATCTGTGTCCATCTTGAGAATAGGGGGACAAAGCACTGCGAGTGGAGGATGGGAATGGGATTGGGTGCACAGTTCTGGGGTCTGGAGGTGGGGTTGGGTGGGAAATGGGATGAACCAGCCCGTAAACTGCTGACAGGACGGGACGACATAGGGTTGGGGATGGGATGGGGAGCACAGCTGTGGTGTCTGCAGATAGGGTTAGGATGAGGAGGGAATGGGGATAGGGAGCAATGGAGATGAGGAAAGAGGGCTGGAGAAGAGTGATGAAGGGAGAAAGGGATTGAAAAATGGTTGAAGTAGTGCTGAGGGAAGGAGGAAGAAATAAATGAATGGATGAAGAGATGGAGAAGGGGATGAAGAGGAGGAGGGGAGGAGAAATGGAGGATGGTTGGAGGGCTGTGGAACCCTTCCAGCAGGACCACTAATCTAACTACTGCTCCTTCTCTTTCCCCAGCCCCGTCCTGCTCATCCAAACACCCACAGAGGCTGTGTGCCACCATCCCAAACCCTGTCCCCAACCCCAGTATCATCCCCAAACAATTCCTCACCAATGCCACCTGCTAAGCCCTGGGTGTGGGCCATGGCTGCACCTTTGACCACCTCCAGCATGATTTCTCAGGCTTCTGCCTCTACCTTTTGACTGAACACTGCTTCAGAAACAAGAGCCCCAGATTCTTCGGTGTCCTCATCCAGGGCAGCCCTGGCAGTGCCATTGGTGCCCAAGTCCATGTCTTCCGCACGGTGAAGGAGCTGGAGCCTGGGCGGGTGCTGGTGAGTAGCCCTTGGGATGAGTAAGGGAAGAGGGGCAGTGCTGAGTAAAGATATCAAATGGTCTTCAGAAGGGTGGTAGGTGGAACATGGAGCCCATGGAGTGCCCCAGGAACTCAGGAACACAGGGAGAGAACCCAACATTCCAAGGGGGACACAGCATTCTGCGTGGGACCCTGGCACCCAGGAAGGGACTGAGGGCTTGTTTGTTTGTTTGTTTTTAATAGTTTGTAAAAAAAGCTTCCCTCCTTGTGTTAGAACAATGTTCTGAAGTTTGATATTTGTCTCTACATTCCTTCATCAGCTGGGACGTTGATGCCGCTGCACACATCTCCTGTTTTGTCATTCTGGTTTGTGTAAAAGATTGGTGAGATGTGCAATCTCTGCATGAAATTTCATTCAAGTGTTTTCCTTTATTTGCCCCCAGGAAGCAATGGCTTGGAAATGGCAGTGTCAGCCAGGAGCCCGCACTGCAAACTGAAGTCTCATCATGTGGATCTGTTGAAAACCGCCGTGATGACAAAGGAACGTTTGCATCGTTTCTGTGCTGACTGTCACGCAGCCTTGTGGAGCAGGTAGGGACATGGCATGGCAGAGAAAAGGGATTTCCCTCCTGATGGGGAACAGGTGCCCAAGGAACGCTCACATCCCACGTGCCGCTGTGTAACCCCCCCTTGCCCGTGCCCCACGTGCTTCTGGATGGGCAGCACAGCTTTTGGTTCACTCAGTCGCCTGTGGCACAGCACATCAGGCTTTCTGCAGGCATGGGAAATCATCCCATCGCTTTGTGCCTTACAAGGAAAAGGAAAACTTCCTCTTGTGAGAGTCCGACTTCCAACCCTTACCGCCTACACTGAAGAAGATGCCGTTTTTCTTGTATCCTTCAATTCCAAGCCCATATTTTCCAGAAGGCACAAGAATTCAAATTTGAACTCCAGCAAGCGATTTCAGTGCCTAATTCTGATTGTGGCAATTACTCAGTTCAGAGGTCCCACTTAATTTGAGGTGCCTGTTTTTATTCAGACAAAGGCTGCAGTTGCAGCTGACTCCCCAAGACTGCAATAGGAGGTGGTGACACAGCCTTGGGCTTCCGTGTTTGTGCTAATCCCACGTTTCCTTTCTCTGCCTTGCAGGGCAGCTTGTGCTGCAAGCAGCCAGGATCGCACTGTGAATGAAGGTCGGCGTGGGAGCAGCTGCTGATGGGAGCAGGAAGTCCAGGCTGATGCACTCTGAGGCATCTCTTGGTGCGGTACCAGAGGTGGCAGTAATGATGTCGGGGCACAGCTGCAGAAGAACGTGAGGAGCTCCTCAGCAGGAAGCCACAAAACCTGCAGAAAGCTGCAGGAGAGCCAGAGCGTGCGCGGGAGCCCAGGAGGAAATGCAGCCCAGGAGTTGGAGCGGCGCCTGGCAGTGGAGTGCTGCGGCCCACGGCCAGAGCTATTCTGCCTTCGCCGGGCCGGCTTCCCAAGCAGGACGTGTCTGTCCTCGTAAAACCAGAGGGCTGGCTCATCCAAATGCTTGCTGATTGTTTGGAAGATCAAATTCTGAAGCTCAAATCCTTCCAGCCTCCAAGCAGGAGGTAACATCTCCTGGGTCCAATCGTGCGGTGCCTGAGCGAGAGGGTGACCCGAGATGGCTGCACAAGAGTCACTTAATTTCTCTGTTACCTTACTTCCAATAACCCCACTGGGTGACCCTTGTGTCCGTCTCTTAGAATTTGGATCTAGGAGGTGTCCGCTTCCTTTGCTTAGAATGAAAGCGCAGGAGTGATGCGGAACCATGGTGAGGTCACAGTCGTTGCTGGGGTGGCAGGGCTTGGCCCTCGGTGGCGAGCAGAGCTGGTGCTCTAGTGAGCGAGTGGCACACAGAGACTGAGCTCTGAGCGTTTTGTGGCAAGGATCATCCTTGAGAGCCCGTCAGAAGCACCGCTGCGGCGTGTGTGTGACCTGGGCACAGCCTGGACTGACCTGGACCAAGAGGTGAGCTGGGCTTGGTGCTGCGTGGTGGCTGGAAGGAGTCTCAGCAGAAAAGCTGGGCTGGGGAGGAGTTCCCAGCTCAAACGAGGCCCTTCCCAATGGCTGTTGCCAGGGGAAATTGATTCTCTGAGAGATTGTGGCACACGTTTGGGTGAGGATGACGAATTGCCATCACTCCCCTGTGTAACGCTGCAGTGCAATGGAAAGTGCAGCAGTAACAACAGGGTGGCAAAGTCCGAGGCTGCAGCAAGAGAGGATTTGCCCAAGTGCAGCAGTTGGGGACACAGAAAGAAAGGAAAAAAGCTGCTGAGCCTTGGAAGGCCTCAGGTAGCAGGGATCTCCACTCAGACACCCTTGCCTCCACTGCCAACCCTTCACTCATGTCTGGGAAGAGTTTGTGTGCACCTGAGCTGCCCTGCCTTCCCACCAGGTGCTCAATCACTGCCTCAAGTCAAGCTGTGACCATTGCCACACAGCTTTGCCACTACAAAAGAGTTAGGCAGATAGACACAAGGTGGATCTAGACTTGGCACAGTTCTTGCAACCTGCTGCTTCTGAGACTCCTCGAGAGTCACAGAAACAAAGAAAGATGGGAAACTGCTTATTCCTCATGATTCTTCCCTTGTTGACTCTTTCCTTAGGGTTCCACTCTGAAAGGTGATCTTGGGTCCAAGCAGTCCCAGAGTGCAGCCGCCTCTTTCCAAGAGCGGGGAATTCCTTTGGAGACAGCCCAACCTTGCTCCAAGAAGTTCCCCATGCCTCAGAAAGGAGTCGACTGCCACTTCTATTTCAACTCTGTCTGCTTTAAGGTATGGTTGGGTGTCTTTTGCCTGGATTGTCTTCCTTTCCTCGCTTTGAAGAGGAAGGGCTGGAGCAGGGGGAGACCTGCTGGCGATGCGTTGCCTTCCTCAGCAGTGGCATTGTGCGCTCCCTGCTACCAACCTGGGCCGACAGCACGGACGTCTTTCAGGCTGTGCTCTTATGTTCCTTTTGCTTGCAGGGAGACAGCTGTCCCTTCCGCCACTGCGAAGCGGCTCTGGGGAGTGAAGAGGTCTGCAAGCTGTGGATGCAGGGTCGCTGTTCCAGCAGCGACTGCAGGCTCAGACACACAAAAATTGATGTGAGTGCTTGCCTAAAGATGAGCTCTCCACTTCTCTCTGGCACCACCTGCAGCGCTGCATCTCTCTGCAAACCTCCTCTGCCTGTTTCCATGACCCTTCCTTGCTTTCTCTCTTCAGAAGAAGCGCAGTGAGATTCCCTGCTACTGGGAGAATCGGCCGGGAGGCTGTCAGAAAGCCCACTGCCCTTTCCTTCACTTGAAGGAACGCGGTGGGAAGGCACCGACTGTACCACCAAGTGACGGTGAGTTCCTGATGGCATGAAGCATGACAGACTTAATGATGAATATTACTTCTGAGAGGGTGCAGGATGTCGGGTAACCATTCATTGGGGAGCGCAGGGAAGAGTGGTGATCAGTGAAATATTGGTTTGTGTTTGGGCTGTCAGAATAGGGGTGGGTGTTTTCTGGAGAGAGGTCAATGCATTGCAGGTCTGTGCCGACTGCAGAAATGGCACAACATTTGAGCAGGGGAAAGGCCAATGCAAGAAACTGTGCTTGAAAATTGGAAGCTTGTGGCTTGGTGCGCTGAAACCTTCCTCCAAAGAGATGCTCTTCAATTATTCCTTGTCTCCTTTCTGCCAGAAGCTGACACGAGCCTTCCTCTGACCAGCGGCCCTGCACAAAGTCTGGAGAGCCAGACAGAGGTTGAGAAGGCAGCAGAGAGAGGTACAGATACTGAACAGGCATCTGGGTTTGAGGCGCTGCCTTTCGACTCCCGTGTTCTGATTGTTCTCTCCTGGACTGTTCTCTGCAGGTGACATCCCATCTTCCTCCCATGGCCCGGCTGCGCAAAAGCGCAAGCGATGTCAGGAGAAGGGCAAAGCAAGCGAGTTGCCTCTCAAGAAGAGAGTCAAGGGTGAGCAGCAGGAGCTTGTTGCAGTGCCTCAGCACAGTCATGGTGCCACTCAGCATTGTTGTGTGTCAGAGTTTTCCTTGCCCTGGACTATTGCTGAGTGCAGCTCGTGGGTTTCTTTGTTCCTTTCGATGCGCTGTTGGTAGAGATGGCTGTGTGGAAAACATTGCTGAGAATCCTGGACATGGCAATGTAATTCCGCTGGCCAAATGTATTTCGCTTTGTTGTGGGTTGGGTTGTGGGAATGATAGGAGAACGGGGATTTCTCTTGAGCCACAGCAAGACCTTATCAGCAACCTCTTCCTTTTACTGCAGCTGGACGCAAGGTGTACCTCAGGTCTGCTGCTTGGAAATCCACCTTCCCCAGGAAGCAGACACTGAAGCGCAAAGCAGCGGACATGCAACCGTCTGCTGCTGAGGACACCGATGAGCCCCCAGCCAGAAAACTGCCTATGGTAAGAGCAGCAGAACAGCAGCAGTGCATACGGAAGGTTTACACTGCACTTGAAGTCAAGGTGGACATTTCACATGTTCTACCGGTCTGCTGTTTCCTTTGAAGGCAGCAGATGTCTCACAGGGTACTTGTGGAAGACCTCTATTTTGGGTAGATGTAGGGCAAGGATTATGTAAGACTCTGTGATTCCACAATTCTCAGATTGCTCTGCGGTGTGAAGGATTTTGTCCACGAATGCTGCGCTGTTAAAAGCACCCAAGGTCATTGTAACCTTCAAGAGAAGGTTTGTAACCATTGTAACCATTGTAACCTTCAAGAGAAGGCTTTCTTCAGGAGCCCCGAGCTTCTGTATTTGGGTTCAGGCTCAGCAGTGCCCAGGGGAGGGAGGAGCAGTCCTCAAAGATCATCCAGTGCTCCAGCTGTCCTGCTGTGGCCAGGGCTGCCAGCCACGAGATCTGACAGCCTGAAACCCATCCAGCCTGGCCTTGAATGCCTCCAGGGATGGGGCATCCACAGTTCTCTGGGAAAAGAAGCTACTTAGGAAGCTCTGAGCCGTGCTTCATACACACTGTCTTGTTTCTTCCTAGGCCATCGTTCCAGCCCTGCCTGGGGACAGCCTGGTGACCATTCCTGCAGTTGAAACACCTCCGAGCAGGTGATGACCACCACTTGTTCTTTGTCAGTGCCATTTTTACATTGGACATAAGTTCTTTCACATCAGGGGACAAATGGGGTGTTTGAGATGTGCCGTGGCATAATGCAACAAACAAAGAGGTCATCTGCAACAACTTAAATTGCTCGCTCAGAATCTCTGCTGAGTATGTCATGGGGACAAGGAACTCAGCCAGTAAACAGCTTTATGCAGAGGATGACTTCTTCACGCATTTACAGTCAAACAAGGAGGCTGGCAGTGTGCTTCTGCTACAAAAATTGACCCTGTTGGCTGGACTCAAACTGCTCTGTCTGCACACATCAATTGCCACTGTGACACATGTGCCTGCTGGTATCTTGCACTCTCAAGGCAGCCTCAGGTGAACTGAATCGCCATCCCTCTGCGAGCGTGAGGTGCGGGAGGGGTTAACCACAGATCTCAGAGCTGGTAGCTGAAAGCGTACCTGCAGTTAGAAATGCCAGGTGCTGATTGTTCTCTTCCTTGTTCTCCCCAGTCTGGAACTGCTTCTGGGAAGCCAGGCAGACTCCGTGGCAGACTCTGTGCCTTGGGCCTCACAAGCAGCACATCAGATGCAGCAGCTGAGCTGCACAGAGGCGGGGAAAGCGCTCATCTCCGAGGAGGATGACATCGAGACATTAATGATGGAAATCATGGGAGATGAGTTAGAAGGAGAAATTGACATGGATACTGACAAGGATACGGACGAGCTCCTTCAGGAACTGTCTGACATCATTGACAGTGTAACACCATAGACTGATTGTATATTTTAAAACAACCACCAACAAAAAACAATTAAAACCAACCCTATTCCTTTTCAACCAACCTTGTTCCTTTTCTTTCTTATACTGTGGGGACACTTTTCCTGAAACTGTGCAAGGAGTCTGAAAGCAAACTGGTCAAAATCAGCAGCGCCTGCGTTCTGTTCTCCTGATTTCCCTGCTGCTCAGAGTTCAGGGGCCGTGCACCCGTTCCACTGGATCCTGGCCAAGGGGGCAGCACAGAATTGGTGAGGCCAGCAAGTGCTGGCGTTTGTGCCGCTGGCGCTAAGCAGCAGAAGGTGGCACCATCCATGGAGCTGCTCTGTACAAGCACCTGGCCCAACCTGGGTCGGGACGCCTCTCAGGGACGACGGAATCCTCGGGGCTGTCGATCAGTGGAAGCCGGGGCAAAGTCCTGCCACTCGAGTCAGCCTCAGTTGTCATCTGCTGAGGAATGGCAGTGCTTGGTGAATGCCTGCTCTACATTCAAGGCAAGGGAAACCGTGAGCAGAGGCCAGCTCACTCTTCTTGCATCCACCTCCTTACTTGTTTATGCCCTGTAATTATACGCAGTTGTTGTGCAAATGTGGGTGTTGTTTTATTAGATCCATGTATTTCTCTTCTTCGTGTGTGTATCTGTCCATAGATGCAGGGTATCCTGTTAGTGAGTTGGATCTTGTCATCTCTGAATCAGTACTCAGGCCTCTGTTTAATTATCACATTTTCATTAAGTCATGTTACTGACCTCCTAATTGGTTTTATGATTAAGTGCTGTTACAATGTTAGCATTTGAGCTATAATTTATCAGTATCATTAAAAATTATCAATACCTCTTGAACTGCTGATGAATAAAACCAAGTGAAATGCAGTTGTCATTTCCTGTGATGCCAAACTGGTGGAGTCAGAAGGATTACAAGCAGAGTCACCAAATAGTTACAACAATGTGAGATCCAACCTAAGCCTATGTTCCCTGAGGATTTGGCTTTTGATAAATGGTGTCCCTCCCTCTGCCTTGCAGTCAGATTGATGATTGAAGCCACAGGGCCTTGGGGTTGTGCACAGAATCACACTAATGAACAACTCCATTTGATGCCATCCCCAAGGCCAATTTACACCATTATTATTGCTGCAGCCCTGGAGAAGCTGAAAACGACTGTCTGTGGGAGCATTTCTGACCAGGGGAAACAGAATGTTGCTGGAGATGGAGCCAAGAGCTTTTGGGGTCCTGTTGCCCTTGTAAAGGCCAGTCGCAGCCCCAGTTGACCCCCACTCAGTAACAAGCATAGTGGCATAGCTAAAGAGGTCTTGTATATGGACTGACCTAGGCCACAGGTTTAAATTACTGTGAGAAGCAGAATCTTCACTACGTTTGTTAGTGAATCTCCTCAGGATCCGTGTCTTTAGGAAGCTTGAGTTGCTGTCCCCTGCTTTGTGCAGAGATGATCTGCCCGTAGCAGAAAAGATGAATTATTTCACCCTGCAGTTATGTAGCGCCATTACGTCTTCAGATGCTGGAGTGGTGGTTATGAAGATCTGCCTCAGGATGTCCTCGGGGTTTATAGAAAAGTGTCCTGAACAACAAAGCAATATGAGCAATCATCAGTGAAAAAGGCGACGTGTATGTGAACTAAATGTCCTCCAAAACTAACCTGCTTGTTGCTCTCTTCTGTTGATGCCAGCACTTGGAGAGAAACTGACATGCATGGCATGCTGCACCCCGTCTGGCACCACCAGTTTTGTGCTCACCTGCACTTGCAAGTGCAGCACAGCAGCTTCGGTAGCCCCTGAAGGGACAGGTGCATCAGATGAGGTGTGCGTGCAGAGATTGCTTTGGCTCTTTGCAGAACAAAACAGATACAAATCTGTTTCTGAGAGAAGGGTGTTGTCTGCAGCACATGCCCATTGCCAAGGTTGCTTCTGGCACGTAACCTGACTCAAGTCTATGGAGCTGAGCACACTAACAGGTGAAATTGATGTGATGCCTGCAGTTGGTCAAGTGAAGAGGTACAACTTGGCTGCCAGTACCAACCCAAGTGCAGCGCCTCTTTGTGCTCATCGACATTTCTCAATCTCTGCGCTGTGTTTACCTTGGGCTTGCTAGGCACAGGCCTGCTGCAGTTCAGAAGCCATTCTGATCACAGCCCAACAAAGTGGCCATCTTCAGAGAAGCGCTTCAGTGTCACAGGCCTCTGGAAGCTCTGGAGGGTGGAAATTTTAGTGGACAAAGAGCTTGAGGATTGTCTTAGAGGGTGGTAAAAGGTAAACAGTCCTACTGTGAGACTGTAGTATTAATGTTAACAGAAGCTGAGAATAGTCATAGGGAATTCTGTGTATTATATGCATGACATGATTTTGTCACTTGATTTTCTAACACCTGCTGTGTCATTTCCTGCTTTGTGTGCTTGGTTTTATTTCAGCCCTCGTGGTCAGCACACCCGATAATGTGGGTCTGAACTAGCTTGGCTTGGATGGGGTTAACCAGCAAGAATCCAAAAAGGTGGTAAGCTGTACACAGCTTTCCCATCTCTATTTCTGACAGGCTGAGAAGCAGAGGTAAGCACTGCTACCGGCCAGGAGAGGGCATCAGCACCGCTGCATTAAATCTTGCATAGGACTTCAAGGGTATCTGAGGATACGGCATCTGCAAGCTGTCGGGCAAATGCAACTTTTCTCTTCAGATCACGTGTATTTGGAGCCTTTGGAGAGCCACCTCAGCACTCTGAATAGCATTACTTCATTGAGGCAGGTATTTCTTACTGGTCACCACTCAAAGGAGGCTTTTCTGGATAAAACTAGATAATAGTCTCCTTCTGAAACTGCTTTCTATCTCAAGATCTGGAATAGAAAGTAGGTTATCTGGCCAATACCGAACTATTTTCTGCCAGCCTTCATCTTCCATTCCTCGTTGCATTCATCTGTCTTGGAATAAGCATTAAGACAATACAATACAACTTTTTCTGGCACTTAAAATTAGACAGCTTTCTTCTCACTATGTGTTGCCACTGGCTTCTCTTTCCTGCTGTAGCCGTTTATATGGTATCTTTTGGTTTCTCCAAGGTTGTGCAGAAGGCTCTTACAGCCTGCTCAGAGTAGTGTCCTGCATCCATAGCCTTTATAAAATGGCACTGTGGGATGTTATTTGCTGTGGGTTTTTTTAAATTGAATAAAGAACAGATTCTTCACCCTTACAGCACGTGCAGAATTTCTGTCAGAGCTGTGTGAGCTGCCTTTGCATTCTCTGCTATTACTTCTTAAGACTTCAGTGTCCTTTGATGGCCTACAGCAGAGTGCTGACTGAGGGCATCTTTTCTTTGCAGAGGACTCAGGACAGCCTGTATCTTCCGCATCACCACTGGCTCCTGGTTCTCACCATCATGTTCTTCCAAATGGAGCTCTCCCCTTTGCAGCAGACGCCATGTGTTGCTCAATGGCTGCAGCCCCAGCGACTGACACAGACCTCTCTGAGCCTCACACACCTTTCATTTTTAGCTGACTGGGAAATAGGGGAATGACATACCTTTTCCTTCCACTTGTGAAACACAGAGAAACATGATTTTAACACTTAGCTGAAGAGTATGAGGATTCTTTGACTTTCCCTTCAAAGACAGTTTGAAGGAGGCTTCTGAACAACAACTTAAAGGGAAGTGATTCATTCAATCTGGGAGAAGGGGAAGAAATGCCCTGTTTGAAAAACAGCCCATAGACATTTCACCTTTGAGCCAGTCCCACAAGCTGGCTGCCTGTGCAGACGGGTGGAGCTTCAGCTGCACCGCCGCAGGCAGCTCTGCCCGCAGTTCCAGCTCGTTGTCTGCTGTGCTTGGAATGAAGCTAAGTTTGCATCAGCCTTGCTTTGGAAGCGAGGAAACCTTTGCATCCCAACCCAAGTCTTACAGATTTCCTTTGTTTCCTATTTCCATTTGTTTATGACAGCTCAGCTCAACTGGGACTCCCTTTTCTGTCCTGTGGCTCTGCTTCACATTTATCATTTTGCTGCTTTCTTCCTATTTGTAAAACGTGGATAATGTGGCTTCTCTCTGGTTGTGAACTTTTAAAAGAGCAGAGGCCGTCAGTAAAAACACAAACATTATTTTGGTACTATTTCATTAGTGATACATAGCACAGTCTGCCCTGAAGCTGAGAATGAAGAAATGCCATCAACTGCTGTAACAAATGTAGAACAAACTCTAAATATTAAAACAAATAAACTCAAAGCAAGAAAGGTTCACCTTGATGAGATGGACTTTCTATGAGCTGCCTTCTCATTTTAACCCCAAAACAGTTAAAACTGAAAATGGAATCCTCATTTCTGCAATTCTGCCTCCTTGCATTCTATTGTGCAGCAAAAACTCAGCCACTAAGTCACACTTCAAACATCTTTTCTGGCAAAATATGCTCTGCATCTTCCCACTTGGAAAACAGCGGGCCCAAGGCCACAGGAGGTTGGTTTGTATAATTTCTGCTTTAACAAAAAGGATCCTTGGAGACTGAGGGAGAATTCCTGGTACCTTTAAGACACAGATGTTCAATTTCTACGCTGCTCTGTGCTGACATTATTTTGAAATACTTTCCTGCCCCTCAGTGTTCTCACCCTTGGAATGAGAAAGTTTCCTGCCTCTTCAAAGAGAAACATTACAAATCCTGCTTTGGATAAGCAAGGGCAAAATTCTTCTTGTGAGCTGTGCTGAAGTTTCTGAACATAAATACAACCTTAACCTGCAGTTTTTTGAGTGCAAAAACCCTTTCAAAGCGGCACTTTAAACTAGCAGCTTCCATCTGATGTGTGTTGATTAAAAAGGAAACAAAGGCAAACCAGACTGTACCAAAGTTCCTTACAAATCCTCTCATTAACATCCTTGCTGTATGATTGTGCTCAGGTTTACTTTCCATCAAAACAACCAGATCAAGTGACCTCACTTTCTTTGTTTTAATTTTTAGCAAGTTTATTCAAGATAAATATTCTGGTTACAATCAGCAGGCTGCTGTGTATACTGCTGTGCAACAAGCACTGCACTGTATATATTGCTGGTGCAGCACCTCAGCTCCCCTGTTCTCTCTGCAGCAGTTGGCATATTAGTTATGAGTACCCAGTGCGTTTCTCCCACCTTTCCAAATGTCTGCTACAATCCCTCACCAGATTTTGGCTTGTTACTCCTGGTCAAGCACTCTTTTCATTCCCTGTAGCCTGCAAGATGCTCT